CTAGGCCGGCCGGCAGCCCTCCACATACTGCAGAGGCAGGCTGGCCTACTGTGTCAGATACCAGCAGCATGTCAGCCGGCCCCTCTATGCAGCCTGCATGACCAGGCCTATCACCGGCCTACACAGATACTGCAGAGATATCATTCTGTATAATAGGGCACTGGCCTGCAAGGGTTCTGCAACACCGGCCAGGTCTGGTTCTGCATGGGCTGGCCGCTGTCCTGTACACCTGGTTTTGCAAGTCAATGTACACGTCCTATCACTAGGTTCTGCAGTACATATGACTGAAGGGTCTGAAGTAAATGCATTGAAAATGCTGGTTAGACTGTTGATCATGGTCTTCACACTGCCTGCTGACTTGTATTTGAAGACCCACATATGCTGTGAGAATGTGTTGAGATATACTCCAAGTGTGCTGTATCTGTTTTTTCCTTTAGGCAGGGATAGGTAATCTCCTACTAGAAGTTCAAATAGTGAGTGTATATGCATTGGGCCAAAGTTTTTGCACTTGGTGCAATCTCTGATAGCTTCTAGAATTGACGCATCGAGTTTGGGGCTCCATATTTGATCGAGGAGTGCGATTTTGATCACGTCCCTTCCCCAATGACTGCCTTCTAAGTGTGTTTTTGCTGCTAATACTCTTGCTTCCTCTCTCGATATACACTCGACCCTCACTCTGGCTCTCATTGTCGTTCCTCTGTGTACTTTCCAAAGTTTTTCTTCTTCTATGATGTACTGCAATGTTCTGTGTTGTGCTTTCTTTTTCTCTTGTATGTCTTTGCTCTGATCTAAATTGCATATTGCATCTACAACTTCCAAGAAGACTGGTTCTTCTTTGAATCATTTGTGGAGGTTTTCAATTTCTGTGCTGATTAGTTCTACGCGCATGATATCATTGACTAACCCTGTTCTCACTTCCCAGTCTTCTCGTACTGTCCGCTCACTTCCACCTCCTCTAATCACTTGCATGTTTTCCCATTTTCTGCTAAGGCTGTCAGCTACTACATTCAACTTACCTGGTACATGTCTGATATCCATAATGTGATATGCTAAAATCCCCTCTCTCCATCTAGCATGTGCCATGTTCACGTTTGGATTGAGTAACGTGTCCTTCATTGCACTACAATCTGTTTCGATTTCAACGGGAAATCCCCAAATAATGCTTGAGAATTTATCTAATCCGAATTTTAGCGCTGCGAATTCTAGCAGATAGGATTTGTACTTCCTTTCTGTTGGTGATGTCCATTTTGACGCGAAGCCTAATGGATGCATTCGTTCTACCCACTTTCCTGCTGGTGTTTGTGTCCTTACTCTTTGTGATAATACTGCTGCAAAACCTTCTAAACATCTGTCTGATGTTACAACAAAATGTGAGCCATCATATCTTGGTGCTTGTAATACTGGTCTTGATGTAATGGCTGTCTTGAGGTCTAGAAATGCATTAGTGTGTTCCTGCTTCCAAATGGTACTTAGCTTAAAGCCGCTCATAGCTCATTGGTACGCTGCTTTTGACATGGAGCTGTTTAATGGCACTTTGAGGAGTAAATTACACAGTGGTCCTTCTTGTTTCACATATGCACTTATTAAAGTGCGGTAAAATCCTGTGAGGCCTAAAAACGAGGCTAGATTTTGTGCGTCCTGCAGTTGTGCCCAATCTACAATGGCTGTGAGCTTCGTTAGATCTGGTTTTACTCCATCTCTCCCTATTGTCCCTTCTGCAAATTCTGTTTCCGCCATGCATAACTTGGTCTTGCTTGGTGCTATTGAGAATTGACATTCTTGAAAGTGTTTGAATAATACCATCAGCTTATCTATCATTTTTCTAAATGTACTTGCCGCACAACCTCCATCATCCATGAATAACTCCATGAAGTGTGTCACTAGCAAGTCGTGTAATCTTGTTGCTAACACTTCACAAAAGGCTGTTGGGGCTCCTGTGATCCCCATTGGCATTCTTCGGTACCAGCAATACCCGCGTCCCTTGATATAGAATGCCAGGTATGGACACCATTTTTCTGGTACTTCTATCACATAATATCCTGCTGCAAAGTCAAATATTGAAATGAAGCGGTGACCACTCAACCTTTGTTGTTTCGCTAAAATGTCCCCCTGCGGCATAGGCACTACTTCTGTTACTTTGTTGAGCTGCGCAAAGTTCTGGCAGACTCTCCATTTCTTTGGGTTCTTCTCTACTGCTTCGTCTGCTGTTAGCTGTGGTACTTCTCTAGGGGGCAACTCGAATGCTGGTTGTAGTCCCACTGTTCTGTGTTGATCATTAACTTGTTGCTTGAGTTCGTCCCATGATAAACCTCCTGCTTCGTGCACTCTTTGGGCTATGACCGTTGTGGCTACGCATCTGATGAGTTCTGGTGGCGCTCTCTCTATTACTCCTGCTGCTAGCATTTTGTTCACTCTTTCATTGTAGAATCATGATTGTTCCGGTGTCAATGGGCATTGGTGCATCCTCAGATTGAAGACTGCGTTGTCCGGGACGTTTAGGTTCAGCTCTGCTCCTGGTATCGGGATTACTTCCTTCAATGCCAACACAAAATTGTCTGCGTTCTCCTTCACCAGTTGCTCCAGCTCCTCTCATTCTTCTTTCGTTAAGTCATCTCCAAAGGTTATCTGTCATAAGATCTCCTTGACTCTTGCTGGATTGAATGGATCTGTTTGACGAGTATGTAGTGTTGTGTTCCCTTTGTTTGGCCCTAACTCTGGGAGTTCTTCGAGAATGAGGTCTTCCGCTTCTTGTTCCAATATCATGTCAATGTTTGCTGAATGCTCTGTGATTGTTGGTGCGTTAATGTTTTGTTTGCTTTCTGATATTGAATTCTGATCAACTTCCCTTGTGGGGAGCTTTTCGCTCCCCCCTAACACTTCTTGCTTTAACTTTTGCCTCCGCTCTTTATTCTCTACTCTTCGCATTGTCAGCCTCCATTGTCCCATTGGGATACTTGATGGGCTTGTCATCTTCGATGGTATGTCTTCTCATTGTTGTTTCTCATCCAGCGTGAGGTTGATTATGTTCTCTTGTTGCATCATTCGGTGGTCTGCAACTTGATTGCTTAGCTTCGCTTTGTGGACCCTGTTTGAAATCTTGATTTCATCCGTCTCATAGTCGTGGACTGCTGCAAATGCTTGAAGTGTTGGTTTTCTGAACAAAAAGCCCCAACTTCCTCCGCTGTCGAAAACTTCAAATGTTCCTTCTGCTACAACTCCCTCGATCTTGATGTTCCTCATCCATTTCGCAACTGATTTGATGATGTTCCCATCTGCCATTCATAATTGTTTGTCTGATTGGCCATAGTTGCATAATTGGTGTTTGATCTTCTGGAATATTAACGTGCACATGACACTAACCATTGCTCCATCGTCGAATAGCGCTCTAATCCTGATTACTTCTCCCTGGGGACCTTCTAATTCAATCCGGTGTATAAACGGGACTGGAAGTTCTCCATTCTCTAGCTGTGTTTTTGTTACTTGTGGGTGTCCGACTGAGTAGAGGTCAACAATCCTGATTGTGTCATGAGAATTGGTGATACATGTGACATCCTTAGCTACGGCTTCAGCATAGAGTTCAGGGCTATTGATCCTGCTCTTTTCCTCGCATCTCGCCTCCGCACATGCGAGGATTTCAACTCTGTCCTGTGGATTCTTGAGACTTTGGGTCGACATATTGCTTTGATTTATGTCAACCCATCTACTTTTCCCTGTTCCTCCGGGACTTCCTCGATCCATGCTGATGTCATCTCCTGGTTCCCGTTGATAACTAGAGATATGGTTGTCACTGTTGCTTGATTGAAGGCGCCTAATACTCTGCTTGTGATTGCTTGCCACACTGCTTCTTTTCGAGAAAGCCTCTCTACATGATCTGTTGGTAGGACACAGTTTTGACTGTTGTGCCCATGTGTTCCGCAGTTGAAACATTCACTCAATGCAATAGCTGCTGTCCCCAGTTTGAGCGGGTACTCTGTTTCGTGCAATACTCTGGTGTTCTCTCCCCATTTTGCATTCCATTGTGCAATCTGTGTCATGTATGCTGTGTGACCTGTTGGCATGTCTGGGTGGTGCATGAATGAGGAGACTAGTTGTTGGGTTGCATTCTTCATCTCTTCAGTTATTATTAGCGGCTGTAGGCTTGTTGCTGGTTGATGACTAATAGTGTGTTGCAAAAACTGGTCGGTTTGTTGAGCTGGTGCACATGTGACCGTGTAGCTACTCGTTGACATATTGGGAGGTTTTGATGGGGCAATAGACATGCGAGAGAACTGGTTTTGGATTGCTGTGATGGGGTTTTGCGCGGTACTGTGTTGTTGTAGCTGAGCTACATCTGCGCACAGCATGGTAACTTCATGTTCTTGCTTGCTGTGCTGTTCCTTCTTCTCCAAAAGCCTATTACCCTTCAACTCTTTCACCTCTTTTGTAGATGCCGCCCAGTTTTTGTATTTGTCGTCTTTCAACAAATCTTTGATGATGTTCGGTAATCCTCCTCTAACTTGCCAAATCATCGATGTGCTCGCCTCTATTCCTGCACTTGTTGCAAGCTGCTGTGCTTTTGTTGCCCATGCTTCATGTGACCAACATTCTCGGTCGTATAACGTGGCATTGGTCCCCACGTCCACATCTGTTAACCTGTGTTCTAGTAGTTCTCTCTCCTGTTCTGCTTTCATCTTCTTTGCTATCTCAATGGGAGGCCAACGCGTTTCAAACACTGTGACAAACGACATCCATGTTGCTGTTTGTGTCGTCACGAGTCCCTTAAACCACACTTCTGCTTCTGACCCTGTACCCAGATAGTCGCCGAATGCTTCCAATTTATCGTTACTAGCTGTGGTCGCTTGCTGCCCCATAGCCCGATTAAATGATTTGAGAAAGTCTGCAGGATTCTCTGATTTGCGTCCATCGCCATGAAAGATTTGGGGTGTTTCAGTGGGCATACTGTGCTTGAGTTCTGCGAGCGGGAAGAATGCACTGAGGTTGTAGTCTGGCATTGTAGATATGGATGTGAGTGGTTCTGTTTTTCTGTGACGACTTGGTGTTTCAAGCTCAAACTGAGATAGTTCGAGGTCTAGGTCTGGGACTTCTAACTTGGGAGATGGAATAGCATTGCGATCCTCAGCACTATCAAGGCTGGTCAGTGGTGAGCTGGGAGAATGTTCTGGTGCGTCTAGTGGGGATGAAGCTGTGGAAGTTTCTGTCGACCAATTGATTTTTAGGTGAGTGTTGGTTATTGCTAGACCTGTTTCTGCTCTGGGTCTTAGGCTGCTAGGCATCAGTTTCTAATGGAATTCCACGTAAACAAGTAAGATAGAACACAGCCTGTTACAGTAACACACTGTTACATCATCGATGTCCCTCACGAGACCGTCACACCACATCACATCACATGACTACTGTCACCTGATCACCAGCATGTGATTAAACTGTATAAGCACAGCATGACAGCTGTTGGAGCAGGACAGCTCTAGACTGGGATCAATAGAAGCTGCACACTTCTCCCTTATCACCTCTACCAATACACCGGTAATGCCTATCACTTATCATGACTGTGGTCACCCCTTGAAACATAGAAGCTGCATGCTTCTGTCTTATTGCTTATCGCGATGTGTACCCTGGACCCTTACCACTGCACCAGTTCCCTTATCTCCGAGTCCATATGACTCATGTATGCTTACCTAGTTAGGACACTTTTTGGTCAGATAGACCTCCCCTGAACTATAGAACTATACCCTATATATATCAGAGTAGTTAGACGATGTATTTCTCTAACTTGATATTCACTTGTGATTCTTGGCTTCTGGTATCTTAACTGATACTGGATTCTATCCTCTTATTATGCTTGTGACAATGCTTAGAGGAACGGCAGACATCCGACGACTCCTAAGTGGGTCGGTGTCTGGACCCATCAAGTGCACTGTTGGCCGAGCCGGGCTCAGCCATAACACAGCCCTTTTTGAATGCATGCAGGTGTTTTGACAACACCCGCTGTCTATCTTGGCCTTTGGGCGTAATGCAACATAATAGTGCTTGCTTGTTGCTTGCGCATTTTTCTGCAAATGGTGTTTCTGCTTGGATTCTGCTTTTGCACATTCTGATGCTGTGGCTAAGAACAAAACTGAAGCTAAATTTGCTGAATCCTGATTGATTGCTAATTGTTTCTAAAACAAGTTTGTTTTGAGTCGAGATCACTCTGTTCACCAAGATGAGCTAGGACAATAGCAGTGTGCTTGGATCTGTGTGATTAGATAGATGTTCTACTGAAGTGAGTCCTGTGTGCATGTATGTGCTGTCTGACTAAGCTATGGAGACCTCTGAGAGCTTAAGTCTCTGGACTACTGTCTTGGGACCCCTGGTCCAGCAGGACTCACAAAGACGGATCAGCAACTCACCATGTGAGAGATCCATGCCAGACTCAGGCACATTGCCCCAGAAAGCATCAAGCACATGATCAAGGATGGTGTCATCACTGGAATCACGTTAGACCCCTCCGATGCCATGATGGACAAATGCAACTCGTGCGAGTATGCAAAGGCCACACAAAAACTGATTGGCAAGGTTCGAGACCCCCTGAGATGCGAGAAGTTTGGTGACAAAGTCCATAGTGACCTTTGGGGCCCATCACCCATTAGAACCTCTGGACATAAAGAATACTTTGTGTCATTCACTGATGACTTCACACGATTCTCTCACCTGTATCTGTTGCACACGAAGGACGAAGCCTTCAATGCATACAAGTCCTATGAGGCCTGGGCAAACATGCAGTTTGATACAAAAATCAAACGGTTTTGCTCTGATCAAGGCAGAGAGTTCATGTGTCATCTCAACAGTAGAGGATCAGAGTGCAAACTCACCATGCACAACATGCCAGAGCACAACGGAGTTGCTGAGTGCCTCAACTGAACTGTACCCAAATGAACATGCGCATTGCTACATGCCAGGGAATTTCCCAAATTCCTATGGGGGGAAGCCATCATCCACATGACCTGGCTAAATAATTGGATGGCAACTCATGCCCTGGAAAATAAGACGCCATATGAGATGCTATACGAAAAGACACCCAACCTGAGGAACTTACCAGTTTGGGGCTGCCGCATCAAGGTCCACTCCACAAATGGCTTGAAGCTCAACATGCGAGCAATCAATGGCAGATGGGTTGGGTTCAATTGTGATAGCAATGGCCACCAAATCTACCTCCCGGACACCAGACACATAGCTGTTGAGAGGAGCGTCAAATTTGACATTGCAGAGGTGAGAATGCCTGTAGGAGAACCCACAGGACCAGACAACCATGCGGCACAAGTCGATGATGTTGATTCAGCACCTGCCAACCAACCTCCACCTCAACCCGTTACTCTTCCTCCTCCTCAAGACCACTTAGGGCCGCAATTTGAGGCAGCCACACCACCACGTCGCTCTGGAAGAGTGAGAATTGAGTCAGCATTCATCAAGAGCCTTTGCGATGGTACAGGTACCACTGATGGCTGAAGTACAGACTTACCTCATGGGATGCAGCCTGCAGGGGAGTCCAGTAACCTGGCTGTTGAGCTAGGAATAGTGGGGGAGTATGGTGAGATGGACGAAGATGATGATGAAATCTTTGTGATGGTTGCTGGAGTAGTGGCAGTAGAGGGGATGGATCCCACCATAGTCAACGAAGCCGTCGAACAACTGGACAATGTGAATGTTGTCGGCTGCAAATGGGTCTTTCCACTCAAGAGGAATGCTGATGGAGAGATTGAGAAGTACAAGGCAAGATTAGTGGCTAAAGGGTACTCACAAGTCTATGGCCTCGACTACTATGAATGCACCAGTAGTGCATCTCACCTCCCTTCGCATGATCCTTGCAATCGCAGCACGAAACAACTGGGACATAGATGTTTTGACTTCCACAGCACATTCCTAAATGGGAAGTTAGATGATGATGAGATAATCCACATGGAATTGCCACCTGGTCTCAACGTTGAGAAGAAATTCAAGTGTCCCATTGCCCATCTCCACGTCACACTCTATGGATCCAAGCAAGGCACCCCCAAATGGTATCAAGAACTATGCCATCCCCTCTCCAGCTTGGGGATGAAGAGAACAGAGCCAGACTGGGGAGTATCCTATAAGCAATTAGGCGCAGACATTCCCATTCTCGCAGCCCATGTTGACAACTGCACAATCACTGGCAGCAACAACAAGGAGGTATCGAGTTTCAAGTGCGACGTCGCCGCCTGTTATAGCTCATGGACCTCGGGCCAATTACATCATTGCTTGGCATGAAGGTCACTCAAGACCATCCTGCACGCATCATATCCTTCTCCTACAAAATGTATATCGACTCTATCCTTGCCAAGTACAACTTCATGGATATGAAACCCTGCTCAATCCCCATGGACCCAAACACACCACTCTTGCAATCTCAATGCCCCAAGACTCCCACTGAATCTGCGCTGATGAAGAACATTCCTTATCATGAGGCTGTTGGCTCGCTGATGCATCTGGCCATTGGAATGTGCCCAGACATTGCATTTGCAGTTTCAACTGTTGCACAGTATGGCGCAAACCCTGGAATGACACACTGGGAAGCTGTGAAGAAGATTTATTGGTACCTGGCAGGTACAAAGAAGTTTGCACTCACCTTCAGCAATGGAAAATGCGGCCTTGAGGGCTTCGCTGATGCAGACAGTGCCTTGCAAGAGCACCGACACGCCATTTTCAGGTATGGATTCCTATTGGATGGAGGAGCTGTCTCTTGGAGCTCAAAGAAGCAAGAGCTAGTCACTCTTTCCACAACAGAGGCTGAGTATGTCACAGCCACCCATGCAGCAAAAGAAGCCATCTGGCTTTGCCGTTTTCTCACAGAAATTTTCCGTCCGTTCACTCAACCAACCACTCTTTATTGCGACAATCAATCTGCTATCGCACTCACTAATTCCGGTGTTTTTCACGCGCGCACCAAACACATAGATATTCATTACCATTTTATTTGTTTCTCTATTGACAAAGGTTCCATTTTACTTGAATATTGACCTACAGATAATATGGTTGCAGATAATCTTGCCAAGCATTTTGCCGCCATGCTTGGACTCCGCTCAGTTTGAGGGGGAGTGTTGTTAGTGTTTTAAAGTCCGGTTCGGTTCAGTCTTTTTAGCCTATTTTTAGGCAACCGGACCAAACCGGTCTTTTTATTCCCATGATATCAAAAAACCGGACTGGACCTCAAAAGACCGATGTTTTTGGTCTTTTGTGGTCCTACAACCGGTTTTAGACCGGTTGCAACCGAGACCAGTCCTATGGAAGTGTAGTACTTTGTCCTGCGATTCCAACGGTGTAATTGTTGTATTAAATGGTTAAGATTCGAGCGAGATATGAGCATTTTATCAAACTGCGCCCTGCAAGTGAGTCAAATATGAAATGTCAAAAAATAAAAGTTGTTATAAGGCTTAGGTGTCTCAACGCTACTTTTAGCCCTAGTATAGACGAGTCTATAGCTAGTCTTACCTTGTCAATTTATTATGGTTTGGTCTAGATAAAAGCTAAGATACAAGACATCCCACGAATTTGCAGCTTTTTCTTGTAATGCTCATAACTTTATCAGATCTTAACCGTTTTACATGATCGGACCACCGTTGGAATCGTGCTGACGAGTACTACATGTGCATACCAACCGGTTCCCTAGAAGACCGGTCCATTGATTTTCGCAAACTTCAGGCAACTGGACCGGACTGATCCTGCAACTGGACTTTAAAACACTAGACACGTACATATTGATACCCGCTCCGACTTATGTCTTCGCCTGTGTCAGTACATACAAATTGTATACTTGGTACATAGCCTTATACCATAGTCTACTTGTCACTGTCTCCTACCTAGAAGTATATAAAACATATCCTGTACTTAGCTACTTTTCCTCAGTCTTAATATTACTTGTCTTCTCACAGTTTCTACTTGTGAGGATTCTCCGTAGGACCTTGCTCTCTCCGGACACAAGTTTAAACTTGTTGTCACCTCTGACCCTCTGCTCTGACTTAGAGCTGTGCTCTAAGTCTTTACTCTTACTTCCCTGACCTATCCAATCAATCCCCCTGCTCCTTTCCACTCACTGCATTCTCCCCACCTTTCCCGCTCCGCTCCTAGTCGGCCTGCCGCAAGTAGCACTTACTTCCCGACCCTCAAAACGGACCAAAGCAGTCTACTTGTCCTATCATCGGACATTGTTGGACCCACTCCAAATTCGGGGCATGTACTCGGCTAAGGGCGCAGCACAAGGGCTGAAGCCAAGCCCTGACCCCTCCGCTTCTCAGTCCGAGCACAGTACCTAACGGATGGATGAGTCAACTGTGGATGAAGATGCAGAGGACATGGGGTATGCAGAGTATGACAATGTCACTTGGGTCACCACTGCCAACAAGATGGCGGGGCCCAGTTGCACCTCAACAAAATGTTGGCAGAGACCAACAAACTATTGAGGGAGGTAGCACCAGCAATTTCTAGGTTGGCACTGGAAGAGACATTGAGTCAGAGGAAGGTGCAGGAGGATCAGTGCCAGTTCGCCTTCATGATAGGGGAGCTCTTGGAGATGGGCTTTAAGGGGCAGGGGTTAGTGCTGGAGAAAGCACTGGGAGAGAGGATGCTGCTGCTGTTAGGTACCGTGCTGCTCAAGTAGCAGAGGGGTTGGGGCTTAGCTTCAGCTCTTGCGCTGTGCCCCTTAGCCGAGTATGTGCCCCGAATTTGGAGCGGGTCCGACGATAGGATGGGTAGACCGCTTGGGTCCGCTTTGAGGATCGGGAAGTAAGTGCTGCTAGCAGCAGGCCAACTAGGAGCAGAGCGGAGAAGGCAGAGGATAGTGCGGAGGGTGGATAGGGGCAGGGGGGATTATTGATAGGAGCGGAGAAGTAAGAGAGAAGACTTAGAGCGCAGCTCTAAGTCTAAGCAGAGGGTCGGAGGTGACGACAAGGTGAAACTTGTGTCCAGATATAGCAAGGTCCTACGGAGAATCCTCACGAGTAGAAACTGCGAGAATACAAGTGATATTAAGACTGAGGGAATATCTAAGTACAGGATATGTTATATATATACTTCTAAGTATGAGGCAGTGATAACTAGGACATAGCTAAAGGCTATGTACTTACTGTACAGTAGTAAGCGGAAAACATAAGTTGGAGCGGATATCAATATGTACGCTGTGGGTACAACAAGTGCAGCAGTGAGAAATCTAACTACTACACAGTTGGGTCTTTGCTACCTGCTGCCTCACTTGAGAACAAGCACGTTCGACCCTAAAGGGGATTGCTACTGGGGAATACTAGTCTTTGTCTAAAGCGACCCTATAGGATGAAAGATCTGCAAAAGCAGATGAAGCGGATAGGATGCGAAACATATGGATTCATCAGATCGAGCAGATCGAACTTGCGGATCGGACAGGATGCAAATCAAAGTCGAAGGAAGTTCATTAAAAGTTAGATGGATAGTGGGTATAGGTCAAAGCGATCTTCTGGTAAGGTGAAGGAAAAGTGGGAGGAAGTTACATCCAGTAAGTATTTTTCGAAAACCTCCATGCTTATAGGGTACAGTATTTTCAAGGAACATAGAGATATAGGTTGTTAAGACCGTGCTCAGGGTAAAGCGGAGTCTGGGGGGCTTGGCTTCAGCTCGTACGCTGCGCCCCTTACCCGAGTACGTGCCCCTAATTTTGGGGTGTAGTCCGATGCGAGTTCTATGAGTTCCGACAGGACGTTGGAATGGGGATCCTCTGAAGGAGGACCGTCGGACTACTAGGTGAGCGCGGGAAAGTCGGGCGGGGTTCCGCCTGACAGGAGAGAGGCAGGAGACTACTGGGGTCGGAACCCACAGTAGGAACAGAGCGGAAGGAACTGCTTGGACGAAGTCCGAAGCAGAGCGGAACGGAGGGGACGGATGTGAGAGTGCGGGGATTGGGTCTGACGCGCGGGAAAGTGCGGCCGATGCATGGGGAGTCGGATGAGCGGAGGAACGGGGGGATGGAGGGATGGAGGGACAGCGGAACCCGCAGAATAGCGGAACCCACAGAATAGCGGAACCGGCGGAATAGCAAAACCGGCGGAACAGAGGAACGGGGAAGCAGGGAAGCGGAGGGTCGGAGGACAGCCGACCTAGGGAGTCAATCCCCTAGGCCGGCAAACAAGAGTTTGACTTGGGAAAGACTTTCAGTCAAAAGGACAGAAGAGCAGGGCTTAGAAAAGGTAATATTCAGACTAAGGATCTACAGACAGATGTACATAGGTTTATATACTCTAGGTAAGGAGCATAGCATAGCAGAAGGCTATGTGCTGAGTGTACAGGATTACAATGGGATGACTGAGACAAATGAGAAAAGGCTCGGAGGAAAGTATGTACGCGACGGATCAGACTCGCTAGGGTATAGGCATTACTGGGGATCCAAAAAGCAGAACTATAATACTAAACGGGGATAGGACCAGTTGAGTGGTTCCTAGACTAGAAGTGGACCAGTGAGGCGGTTGGGCAGACTGATAGGGCGGATGAGCGGAACCCCAGATAGGGTCGGATAGATGGGGTATGGGGTCGGATGACATAGGGGTAATGTCGGAAGAGCGGAACGGAGTCAGACGGAGGTAGCAGGGCTAATCCTGCTGAGATGCACTTCGTGCATTGTCGGGGAAGGAGGAATGAAGCGGACGGGGAAACAGGGGGTTGGGCCAGCAGTGGGGATGCTCATAGGAGGTACTGGGGGTACTCGGATCCGGTATATGACAGCCGGATGCAAGCACATGCGCTTGGATACATAATAAGGAGCATCAGAATGCTTTGGAATGTTTCGGGTGTACATGTAATAGTGAGTGCATTCAATACAAGTCATGGACTCATAGGCGATACGCATGGTCGGTTAGCAAGTGGGGTTTTGCCCATATATCAGAGGTGCTTTGGTAGATACTTTCCCTCAGTCATTTCTATCACCTCCTTTGGCAGCGGCTGAGGTATGTCTTCATTTACATTCATTTATACCAGTGTAGCTAATCTAGAGTAGTGCAGATTCTATCCGCTTTACTTAGGTGAATACAGTCATTTCTATCGCCTCCTTTGGCAGTGGCTGAGTGCAGATTCTATCCGCTTTACTTAGGTGTATTGGTGGACCTGATCGACGTCGCTTAGGGTACTGACGGACTGCATCCACTTCACTCAAAGTTTTGTCAGGTTATGAGCCCTGCTTACGCCAACTAGCCAGATCGACCCCAGAATGACTCACCCAACCTGCAGAGGGTTAAAATCCGCATCCATCATCAATCATGAAAAAATCCCATTCCACAAGCGATACATCCGCTTGTCCTGTCCTTACCGGACCAAACAACTTTCAGATTTGGAAACTACGCATCTATGCTAAGCTACGCTGCGAGAAAGTCCTACGTGTTGTGACCGGTGAAGAGCCGAAACCCTCTCCTGCATCCACATCCACAGACAACCCAGTCACTGCATGGGTACTACATGACAACAAAGCACTCGGAATCATCCAAGGCCACATATCTGATGCGCTACTCCTCAAAACTGCATCCCAAGTGACGTCCAAAGGGTTACTGGACAAACTCATAGAGATCCACAACACCTCCAATGTCGCATCCGCATTCTATTCCTTTGAGCAACTCTTCGCCCTATGCTGGGATGGCACATCTGCTATCGAAGACCATGTCTCCATTTTCCGAAACCTGGAGACCTGCCTAGTGGGTATGAAGTTCACCATTGACACCAAGCTCATTGCATTCGCCCTCCTCCGCTCACTCCCAGATACACCAGACTGGAAGACTTTCATGTCATCTGTCCTCAACACCATTGATGAATCAAAGTTGACCTTCAATGATGTGGAAACCCGCATTGTAGCAGAAGTCACACATCATCCAACAGATACCGCATCTGATCCACCCGCATCAATGATGAAGAGCACTGAGACAAAGATGTGGTGTGAACTCCATAAGAGTAACAGCACGCACAACACCAGTGACTGTCGCACAATGAAGCAGAAAGCGGAAAAGCGAAAGAAGAAGGAGAAAGCAAAGAAAGCGGATGTGAAAGCGGATATGGATTCAGACTTGGATTCTAGCACAGATGAACAGAGCCACGTTACTTTTGAACGTGTACATATCTCTAAATCCTTAGCAAAGCGCATTCAGGCTTGCCTTGCGTCCCCCACATGTGACAGATCCACCATCATGGTAGACTTGGGTGCAACGTCGCACATGGTCCCACATAGGGGATGGTTCAAGCCGGGATCATTCCAAGTACTAAACCCACTGCATGGCATTAGCTTTGGAGATGACTCAACCGTCCATGCTGTTGGAATCAGCACAGTCATCATCCGCGTGCATGTAGGAACTAAGCAGTATGACATAGCACTGTCGGATGTCCTCCTAGTACCGGTTTTCACCCTATCGCTCATATCCGTTTACAAGATCGGGCGCACGGGTCTATCCACCACCTTCCTTGCCAAATCCAACATCTGTGAAATCCGCAAGGGGTCGCGCATTGTACTCACTGCACATCACAAACATAAACTTTACCACATCAAAGGAAAGCCCATGCCCAGCTCGGATCAAGTGAATGCTGTGGTAGATATCAACCTCTTGCATCGGCGGATGGGACATGTCTCAACAGATTGGATACAGCAGATGGTAGCAAAAGGTCGTGTACAGGGCATAGACACTCTCACTGGAACCCCTGAATTCTGCAAACCATGCGTCGTTGGAAAGCTGAAGAAACTCCCCTTTGCACCCACGACTGGAAACCATGCGGAACTGTTAGGTACCGTGCTCTCAGGTAGTGGAGGGGTTGGGGCTTGGCTTCAGCTCTTGCGCTGCGCCCTTAGCCGAGTACGTGCCCCAAATTTGGAGCAGGTCCGACATTGTCCAACGATAGGACGGGTGGACCACTAGGGTCCGCTTTGAGGGTTGGGAGGTAAGTGCTGCTAGCAGCGGACCAACTAGGAGCGGAGCGGAGGAGTCGGAGGATAGTGCGGAGGGTGGATAGGGGCAGAGGGGCTTATTGATATGAGCGGAGAAGTAATATGGAAGACTTAGAGCGCGGCTCTAAGTCTAAGTGGAGGGTGTCGGAGGTGACGACAAGACGAAACTTGTGTCCAGAGGTAGCAGGGTCCTACGGAGAATCCTCACAAGTAGAGACTGCAAGAATGCAAGTAATATTAAGACTAAGGGAAAATATCTAAGTACATGATATGTTATATATATACTCTCTAAGTATGAGGCAGTGATACCTAGGACATAGCCAAAGGCTATGTACTTACTGTACAGTAGTCAGCGGAAAATATATGCGTTGGAGCGGATATCAATATGTACGCGTTGGATGAGTGATCGAGCGGTAAAAGGTATCACCGGTGATCCGGAGTAAGGGTCTATGTACCAATGGGGAAAGTATATATCTAAACGGGGAAAGAGGTTACAGTTGAATGGAGACGTTACGGGAGGTGAGCGGTTGGGTGGTTGAGCGGAAGCGTAGGGCGGATGGTCAGGGGATGATTGGACGGAGTGGAGGACGGATGGAGCGGAGGTGGTCGGAAAGCAGATGGGATGCGGAATCGGATGGAGTGGATATTAATATCGGAGCGGATGGATCTGGTATATGACAGGAACGCCCAATCCAAATCATCCATATGGATGTAGGTGGACCAATCACCCCGACATTGCGCAAAGGCTTCCGCTACTGGATGGTCATCATCAACGACTTCTCCAAATTCCTGTGGATCTACCTACTAAAGCGGAAGAGCGATGTGCATCAGCAGTACAAGACTTGGAAAGCGGATGTCCAGGCATTCTTCTGTGCAGAAGTAGAAGAGGAACATTTCACCCAACTCTACACACAGTTCATCCAAAGCGACGGCAGAGGTGAGTACACCGGGCACACCATATTGGATACCATGCGCACGGATGGAATTGTCCAGGAGACCACAGCTGCGGATACCCCAGAACAGAACGGCATTGCGGAGTGGATGAACAAAACACTTTGTACTCTCGCAAACACAATGCTTGAAGAGTCGAAACTGCCAAAGTCATTCTGGGCGGATGCCATGCTCACTGCAGCGCACATCACCGCTTGGAGTTCAGCCGTGGGTCTAAAGGGCAACAGCCCATACGGACATCTTTTCCACAGATGCGTAGACCCCACATTCTTCCAACCATTCGGATGCCCCACATATGCGCTCATACCAAAGGACAAGTGCAGAGGGAAGTTCCATCCGAAAGGGAGGAAAGCCATCATGCTCGGATATGCCCCCGGAAAGAAAGCATACAAACTCCTAGACCTTGAGAAGCGCACCATATTCTCCACTCAGCATGTCGTCTTCAATGAAACCGCGCAAGTTCCCCCGGATGATTATGCACCTTGGAACATCCATCCGCAAGTCCAGCGGTGGGAGGGTATAGTCCTGCATGTCTACAACCATGATTTAGACCATATGGATGATGATCCACCTCCTCCATGACATCACATAGACCCCCTGCAGGCTCCAGCCATACATCCTCTGGATCTGTCAGATCCACCTGCATCCGCATATCATCCAAAGGTCGAACCAGGCGCAGTGGGAGCACAGATGGAACTGGATGTTGAAGACATATGCATAAAGCTAGACAACTTGTCAATCAAGCCAGATGTATAAGCCTCAGATGCCACGGATTCCGCACCATGCACGTGATCACCATCTCCAAACTGCACACAACACACACAGGTAGTAGCCAGGGTCTGATGCAGCACCCGCACTACACGACCTTGGGATTGAAACTGTGACTACCAATGGACTTTGGATGAAGAAGCCACACGCCGCCAAGCACCCATGGATCCGCCCGCACTGCACAAGGACACAAGCGCATCAGATCAACGCTCGGATGGCCAAACTGAACCGCCAGATGCAAGTCATCCGACCTTCGATGCCATAGATCTGGATGATATATATTTTGCTGGTGCAGCAGCCACAGGCCCATCCGAAGACGATCTCCCCAAAACATTACCGGAAGCTTTCATCTGCCCAGATGGAGGATTATTGTCATATACCGGATCCGAGTACCCCCAGTACCTCCTATGAGCATCCCCACTGCTGGCCAGACCCCCTGTTTCCCTGCCCGCTTCATTCCTCCTTCCCCGACAATGCGCGAAGCGCATCTCAGCAGGATTAGCCCCACTACCTCCGCCCAACTCCGTTCCACTCTTCCGACATTACCCCTATGTCATCCGACCCCATACCCCATCCATCCGACCCTATCTGGGGTTCTGCTCCTCCACCCTATCGGTCCGCCCGATCCTATTCCTACTCCCTCCGCTTTTCCGCCCCGCTTGGATCCTTCGGTTCCGCTTGTATTGACCCGCCCGACTATCAGTCCACCCGACTGCCTCACTGGTCCACTCCTAGACTAGGAACCACTCAACTGGTCCTATCCCCGTTTAGTATTATAGTTCCGCTTTTCGGATCCCCGGTAATCCCTATACCCTAGCGAGTCTGATCCGTCACGTACATACTTTCCTCCGAGCCTTTTCTCGTATGTCTCAGTCATCCCATTGTAATCCTGTACACTCAGCACATAGCCTTCTGCTATGCTATGCTCCTTACCTAGAGTATATAAACCTATGTACCTTTGTCTGTAGATACTCAGTCTGAATATTACCTTTTCTAAGCCCTGCTCTTGTGTCCTTTGACTTAAAGTCTTTCCTAAGTCAACTCCTGTTTCCCAGCCTAGGGGATTGACTCCCTAGGTCGGCTGTCCTCCAACCCTCCGCTTCTCCGCTTCCCCGTTCCGCTATTCCGCGTGTTCCGCTATTCCGCATGTTCCGCTATTCCGCGTGTTCCGCTATTCCGCGTGTTCCGCTATTCCGCATGTTCCGCTATTTTGCGGGTTCCGCTGTTCTGCTGTTCCTCCGTCCCTCCGTCCCTCCGTCCCTCCGTCCCTCCGTCCCTCCGTCCCTCCGTCCCTCCGTCCCTCCGTCCCTCCGTCCCTCCGTCCCTCCGTCCCTCCGTCCCTCCGTCCCTCCGTCCCTCCGTCCCTCCGTCCCTCCGTCCCTCCGTCCCTCCGTCCCTCCGTCCCTCCGTCCCTCCGTCCCTCCGTCCCTCCGTCCCTCCGTCCCTCCGTCCCTCCGTCCCTCCGTCCCTCCGTCCCTCCGTCCTCCGTCCCTCCGTCCCTCCGTCCCTCCGTCCCTCCGTCCCTCCGTCCCTCCGTCCCTCCGTCCCTCCGTCCCTCCGTCCCTCCGTCCCTCCGTCCCTCCGTCCCTCCGTCCCTCCGTCCCTCCGTCCCTCCGTCCCTCCGTCCCTCCGTCCCTCCGTCCCTCCGTCCCTCCGTCCCCCCATTCCTCTGCTCCTTTGACTCCCCGTGCATCGGCTGCACTTTCTTGCGCATCGGATCCAATCCCCACACTCTCACATCAGTCCCCTCTGTTCCGCTCTGCTTCGGACTTTGTCTAAGCAGTTTCCTCTGCTCTGTTCCTACTGTGGGTTCCACCCCCAGTAGTCCCCCGCCTCTCTCCTGTCGGGCGGAACCCCCGCCTGACTTTCCCGTGCTCACCTAGTAGTCCGACGGTCCTCCTTCAGAGGATCCCCATTCCGACGTCCTGTCGGAACCCATAGAACTCGTATCGGACTACACCCCGAAATTAGGGGCACGTACTCAGGTAAGGGGCGCAGCGTACGAGCTGAAGCCAAGCCCCTCAGACTCCACTTTACCCTGAGCATGGTCTTAACAATTATGGAAATTGGCTCTAGAGGAGGAACTTTCCAGCCTGAACGAAAACCAAGTCTATGAGACCGTCCCAATCCCTGAAGGCATCAAGCCGATCACCTCCAAGCCTGTCTTCTGCATCAAGAAAGACCAAAATGGAAATGTTGAACGGTATAAGTTGCAGATAGTCGCCTGTGGATTCTCTCAGAAGGAAGGGGTAGACTACCACATATTGCAGTAACATATCTCCGTATTATACGAGTGAACGGACGTGCATAATATCCTGTATGATACGGGCCAGCGGACCATGGGCCGAAGGTAGATATATCCTCGACTATGACGGATGGGCCGGGAGTGTTATTATTCCCGATGGAGACGGGTGGGCCCATGTAGGGAATATGTAGAGTAGATGAGTGGGCCGATAGACATGAATATTCAATAGACGGATGGGCCGAGGTAGTTGGATATTATGTAGATGGGTTTACCAAGGTAGATGTGTATCAAATAGCCGGGTATGTCAAGGGTGCTTGTTATCAGATAGACGGGTGGGCCCAGATATATATCATATTAGACGGGTGGGCCGACGAATTAAGATTATTTTGTAGACAGGTGGGCTGACATATTGGTATTATTTTGTAGACGGGTGGGCCGAGGGAGTGGTGAAATATTTATTATATATACGGGTGGGCTGAGGGAGCGGTAAAATATTTATTATATATATGGGTGGGCCGAAGGTCATCGTATATTGCATAGACGGGTAGGCCGACGTGGGGGTATATAATATAGACGGGTGGGCCAAGAGAGCAATTTATTAGATATTATATTGATGGGTGGGCCGAGGTAGTTGGATATCACATATACAGGTGGGCCCAGATACATATCATATAGACATATAAGCCGAGGTGGTAGTATATTATATAGACGTATGGGCCGAGGTAGTAGTATATTATATAGACGGGTGGGCTGAGATGGTTGATATCATATCCACAGGCCGGGTAACATCTATCGAGTTCCAGGTAATGTCTATTGAGTTCTGGGTAACGTCTATTGATGTCCAGTGTGGGTGAGGAAAGTAGACTCTGAGTGATTTCAGATATCTAATAAGGGTGCGAGACTAATACTTGTCCCAAGGGGATTGCTACTGGGTAGCGAGTCCTCAAGTTAATGCGAGGAAAGCAAAGACTAGACTCTGTCTAGCGACCCGAATGGTTCCACTCCTTAATAGGATCGAAACGCGCAAATGTGGAATGCGCGGAACTAGCGCACAACGAGCGGAACTAACGTGCAACGAGCAGGACAAACGCGCAACGGACGGAACAAACACGCGGACTCGTATCACGGATACAACGGACGGGAAAAGAAACTACGAGCCTATACGAAGAAGATTGGGCGAAGTCGGACCAGGTTTGTGTCTGGTACTTGTTCCAAGTCGTCGGATGCGGAACATCGGGTGTTTCGAGCGGAACTCGCAGATGCGCGGACGATGGGATGTGGTCAAGAATAGATTCAGGAAGGTATTTTAAACAGTGAGTGGAGCACTAGAGAAGTACTCTGCAAGTGGAAGTGGAGTTGAGTCAATCAAAAGGTAAAAAACTAAGATCCCATCTATTCCTATCTATATAGGAACGGGTTCCGAAAAGCGCTATGCTAAACGGGTGAGGCAGTGAGATAAGGATGCGGTTCCGAGTATCAGAAAGATCCGCATAAGTATGTAATACATGGGAAACAAGGTAGGAACATGTTAGCAATGCATCGAACATAGAGAGTACTCACCAGTGAGGATGGGAGGACAAGGACAGGACGGGGTAGGACGTTCCTAAAGATAAAGGGGTAGGATGTGCAGGTTGCGCGAGTGATCCACTTGGTTCCGCTGTGATCCACTTGGGTTCCGCATAGTGGATGGGTCAGATAAGAAGCGGATGGGTAGTGGAACACGTGGGGAGATACTGGTAAGGCTCAGGAAATATGGGGAATACGGGTCTACAGTGGGGACGTTCCCCACACCGGGTAACTAATATCGAGTTCCAGGTAACTAATATCGACTTCCGGGTATTTCATAAATTGAACAAATCACGAAGTACCGAGTACCGAGTTCCGGGCATCGAGTTTAATTGTTATCATATACATGGGTGGGCCCAGACACATCATGTTGACGGGTGGGCCGAGCCGAGGGTGTTGTATGATATACACGGGTGGGCCCAGATGTATATGATGTTGACGGGTGGGCCGAGGTTATTATATGATATAGACGGGTGGGACTATCGAGTGCCAAGTGCCAAGCTCCGACTACCGAAATTTTAATGAACCGAGCATCATGTACCGAGTTCCGGGACCCGGGTCTCGACACTCGAATATTTGATATCTAGCACCCTTCCAATTATCTGGTATTTCATTGACATACTAACATTGCAATGAATGATAATCCATCATAGAAAGGTCAGTTTCAACTACCGAAATTTGACTGAACCAAGCATCATGTACTGAGTTCCGGGACCCGGGTCTCGAGACTCAAATATTTGATATCTAGCACCCTTCCAATGATCTGGTATTTCATTGACATACTAACATTGCAATGAATGATAATCCGTCTTTGAAAGCTAAGTTCCAACTACCGAAATTTGAATGAACCAACCATCATGTACCGAGTTCCGGGATCCGGGAGTCCCAGGTCCCGGGTCCCGACACTCAAATATTTGATATCTAGCACCCTTCCCATTATCCGGTATTTCATTGACATATTAGTATAGCAATGAAATGATAATCCATCTTTGAAAGCTAAAATCAAGGTTCCCTATCTTATCCACCCTATCTCCACCACCTTTAAAGTCTGTGGACATCCGGCATTGACCATCTGATTTCCCAAGATCAACACCATCATGAATGTGTCTTCCACCTCCGATATTGAAATAACCTTCTGGCGCACTTGGGCCTTGACAGTCACTCATGAGGCATGTGAATATACCGAACAGAAATTCATTGCCGAGAAAACAGGAGGAGACCCAGTCATACCTTCTCCTAAGCTAGACACCGATCTGGTGATGGCTTGTGATCAATTGGTGGATTGCCTCATAAAGGCATATAACAATCCCAGTGGGTCTTCCCGCAGATTCGGACAGTCCATTTGATGATTCAAATTGCTTCACAGTTCGGATGCAGATTGATATTGCGAGATACAGCAAAATGATCTCCCCGAAGGACACTGGACATAATGAAGAAAGAGAGGCGAGGTTGCTTGAGAGGTGTCCTCCTGGCCATGAAGGTACAAAGTTGGTCGACATACCCGCCACAGTTCTCGATGCTACCGGGGCCATCATTGTGTGGTACCTCCCGGATGCCCTGATGGAAACCACCCAGGTGGGTAATATATTTTGTTACTCGATGGATATGGAATATGAAATGGGAACTCAGAAGGAAATTCTGGCAGCCTCCGATTTTGCTCAGTCCGAGCCTTGCAAAAAGTGTAAAGGTTGATGGGAGTTGGCGGACTAATCAGGATTGGTTCAAACCAAGCTCGGAAAATGATGGCATATCTCCCGGATGCATCAATCTATCTCCGGCTTGGTTTCAACAGTGGGCACGAGGTGGGATCTAATGAGATGGTGGTTTCCGATAGTTACACTGACCAATCCGGATAGAATCTGTCGGGACCCCGGCGGTATCTGCCTCATTGTAGAAGGGACCCATTCTCTGAGAATATTCTCAAGGTAGCCATTGCCAGGCCGGCAGCCATCGCATCAGCCGCACTCAGGGTGATGCATCCTGAGCAGTACTGGGCTGGGATACGAGCCTTTTTAAGCCTCGGACAATCAGCCGAAAGCAAGAATCTTCCGAGGATGTCAGAGACCCTCCAGTACTGGGCATCCGTGTTTAACACCCTCACCGTCATTTCCAATCGGCAAACCCCCAATCATCGAGACCACATATCCATTCCTGAATGCTTCGATATTCTCACCACCGTGGGTAGTTATTCGAATGCTCGCATGAGTATGCCAAGTCTTCAGCTGGAGTTCATGTACGAGCCCGGCTGTATGATCGCGTTTTCAGGAAGGATCGTAAGACATGGGGTTCATGAAGTGGAAGGGGATAGAATTGCTTGGGCATGGTACATGAGGGATTCTGTTCATATTTATGCCGGGATTCCCTCATGTGGATGGGCTAGGATGGATCGCGTACATACTCCATCCTGGCAAGGATAGAACAGGCACATAGCTTAGTACCCATGTGATAGTACCTACTGTCAAATACCAATTACCAATGTTCGAGTGCCAATAATCAAGCATCAAACAGGCAAATGTTCGACATTTGATACCCGGACCTCGGTACTCCACTCCTGGAACTCGGCATTCGGCACTAAACACCCGGAAGCCGGTAATCGGTATACGGTGTTTGGTACTCACACCCGGACATCGGCACCGGAGCTCGGTATTCGGTACTCAGTACAGTGATTTGTCCAATTTACAAAATGTGTATTCCGGGTTTCAGTACTCAGCACTCAGTACTCGAGGCCCGGAACTCGGAGCTCGGTAGTCAATGCCCGGCACTCGGCATTCGGCACCCGGATCGCACACCTGGAAGTCGGTACTCAACACCCAGAACCCGGAGCCCGGAGTTCGGTACTCGGTACTCGATACTGTTTCGTGGTCAGTACTCGACACCGCACTTGATGCCCGGACTCAATG